GGGTGGGTGGACACTCAACCCACAGAAATGCCCTTCTTTTTGATAATAGGCTTTGGATTTTATTCACTTCAGGGAAGTGTGCCACCTTGCAGCACTTCCATGTTAGGGCCTGTGTTCTCTCAGGGAGACTGAATAGGGGGCCATGCATGGAGTCTTACAGAACATAAGACCACATGAGCTCCTGTGTGTTTATTTGTTTTCATATGGTTTGTGTTACTGTCTGCTAAATTGAACCAATCTGTTCACTGAAATAATTTTTGTAGTGTCTTATTGGCCCTTACTTATTTTTAAATTAATTATTTTTATTTATATATTTTTAATTAAGGTATCATTGATAAACAATCTTATGAAGGTTTCACATGAGCCACATTGTGGTTTCAACATTCTCATATTACCAATCCCCCCCCAACCCCATTGCAATCACTGTGCATCAGCATAGTAAGATGCCATAGAGTCACTACTTGTCTTCTCCATCCTATATTGTTAATGGCCCTTTTATGCAGGAGGATAATTACACATTTAGGAGCTGTTGTTATTCTTCTGTTAGTCAGAAAAAAACCACATAAATAATTTAGTTCAATAATAAAGAACTTTTTCAGATCCTTGCATGTTCCAAACAAAAATTGTCTTCTGTTGCTCTGAGTGGAAATCATGGTGTCAGGATTTCAACTTCATAGGTAATAGTTATATTTATATTCCTACTTCCCCTTTAAAAGGGAAAAGAAAAATATGCCTATTTGTCAAGATTGAGAAATACAGAAAATCACTCATAATATTGTCAGCTATAAGAAGTATCTTTTATCTATTTAGATTCTAGGGTATTTCTGAAATGATGGTAAATGTTCAGAGCTCATGGAAAAAATGCAGGGGACTGAATAAGAGACCATCTTACAAGCTATAATCTCACCATCCTGAAAACAAAACGGTCTGTGCTGCTTGTTTGGTCGGTAAAATCGTATCTTGTGAAGATGAGGGCACTTGTTTTTTCATCCTGCTGTCTTGACTATTTAAAATGACTCGTTTAAAATGGTCCCTTTCAATTATCCCAAAATGAAAGGAAAAAATACAGAAGTAATCAATACATTTGCTGTTTGGTTAAAAGAGAAACAGTATTCCCATTCCACCAAACTGTCACAAGGAACTAAATCCATTCATTAACTCATGAAGCAGGGATTGGACTCCCAGGCAGAAAAGCTGATAGAGGCCTTGCCCTTGAGCAGCCCTGCTGTAGTAGCTGACATAAATAGAGGGATACTGTGCCTCTGGAAGCACAAGGAAAGCACTTCCCCATTCCCCAGGAGCTGAACGGAGCCCAAGGCAAAGGCCTCCACCCAGAATAGGGCCTTGCACACTGAGCATTAAGTACATGTGTTGAGTGGATGGAGGAAGGGAGATTAGTGTGCACAAAATGAAGACGTCATAGAGGAGAGCCTGGTGGGTGGAGCCCAGGAGCTTGACTGTGGACGGGAGACTTCCAGCCTGGAAGCTGGCAGGGCCTCCTGAGTTCTGAGACAGTTCTGTTGGCCCTTCCCTGTGGCAGCCAAACTCTGAATTCTGGATCTATAGCTGGTAGAGTCATTTAAGAAAGCTACACCATGGCTGCAGACAGGAATCTTTATAGAGCTGTGCTGACCCAGGTCAAGCTTCTCTTCCCTGTGAGGCTGTGCCATTGACCCACTGTTACCTTGCCTTCAAACTGAGAAGCTCATGGAGGTTCTTCTCAAAGAGTTTCTTGCCCAGGAGGAATGCTGGTGTCAGCTGCCAAAGGCTGCTTTTTATTTGTTGTTTGTCAGAGGCTCTCTTTATGTAAATACCTTCCATCCGCAATCCCCACAACCATTCTGATTTGCATATACAATGATGAGAAAGTTTCTGAACCAAACTATAGTTGGAGTAAGAAAGGAACTGGGGATGGAGAGACGTGGTTTTGGAGTTTGAAGGCCTGCAGTAAGCTGAGTGGCATGAAGTCCCCAGATCTGTGTGGGCCCCATGACTAATAAAGAGGAAGCCCTCTGTTCTCCTGGCTGCAGAAGGTGACTGTGTGAGTTAATGAACTGCTGGGGTGAATGGTGAGCCAGGGCCTGCTGTACGTGGGAGTCTGAACCCCACTGGCCAGTGGAGGCTGTACCTCCATCCCTTCCCTCTAAGGTGCATGACTTTGACCAAATGACCTGACCTCCATGTGATTTCCTTTCACTTTAGTCCTAGGGACAGAGGTAACGACATGGAAATCCTTGGGGTTTAATGTGGAGCCACATGCTTAGCAGTTCTGTGACAGTGCCAGTGGGTCCTGTGCTGTCACGCTCTCCTCCCCTGTCAGCAGGATCACGTGGGAACTGAGATGACAAGGTGGTTCCAAGGTGGCCAGCTGCAGACCAGCCAAGTGCTCACACAGACCTTCCTTCTGCATCCATTCCTCAGCTGGCCCTTCTCACATTCTCACCCCTCTTGAGATGTCTGGCATTAAAAATATCTGCACGGGTGTTTGTTATTCCACTACCACCTTGCTCATTCTTGGATTTCAGCATTTATTACATATTTCACCTTTAATGTTGGTTGCACCAAAATGTATTGCAAATAGCAGTTGAATACTTATAGGCACCTTTCCTGGCAGGTAATGCTGTTTATTTATCTTTACATTATCTCCAAATATGCAAATGATGTGGACATATGGATTTTGTAGAAATGTCAGACCAATGAGTGAATATATGAGCAATGACTCATCAGATTGGCATGAATATGTGAGTTATAGGCAGAAATGAGAAAGTAAAGATAATATAAATTAGATACTTGGATCATAATGAATGGGATAATCTACAAAGATTCTCTTAGTTATTGAAAATGACATGCTTTTTTAAGTTTCTACCCAGAAGTCTTATTGACTAAATATTCTAGAAAGATCCTGAGAAGTTTGCCAACCTATTTCAGGAATATTTTCTCTGGAGATTTTTTTTTTAAACAACTGTGTAAATCAGATTCTCTAGAGTAATGCTGTAAGTTGCTTCATTCCAATGAAACTTCATTTTGAAAGAATTTTAGATATTAATATGTAGATATGCTTCTAGTGAGAATTTAGCAGACAATTATTGGAATTTAGCATTTTTTTCAAACACATTAGCAAAAATGCCCTGAGGGCTGCCCCTTCTGTAGATGGCAAGAGCAGACCTCTGCTTACTGTCTGCTTGCAGCTCGTACTTCTGTTCAGTAGGTACCCCAGATTCATGTTCTTGTCCTTTCATCTGCTTTTGTCAAAGTGTTCTCCAAAGAAATCAGGAGCTTCCTCACACCAAAGACAGTGTTCTCCCATGTGAGTCATATCCTGCACAGAACCCAAATTTTGGTATATATTTATTTAGTTACTCAGTGCCTGACACTGTCCCAGGTGGTTTATGAGGATTGATTTATGCAAGGCTCTGACTAGCCTACCTGACAGCAGCTAGTATTTCCAGCCCATTTTCCAGGGTGGGAAGAGTTGCCTCCTTGGGGTCCCACATGCAAACCCAGGCTGCCCATCCAGATCTGGCATCCTAGTGCAAATGCTGCATTATGCTACGATCATAATCAGCATCGGACCAGAAACACATCCCAGTCCTCAGACATCCCTGGGACATGGCCTTGGGCACAGACTCAGCTGAGAGCTCTCTGAAGAATAGGAGCTCCTGCTGCACATGCCAAGCCTTTTTCTCTCCCATGGAGAGACGGCAGAGATGGAAGTGGGTGGCCCTTGTTAACGGGCAGCATGGTTCTGACCTGCACTTCTGGGCAGAAGAGGAATGGTAGACAAACATACCCCCTGTACTGACACAGTTTTTGGCCTTTAGAAATTCTTAGGGAGAGCTAAGCATATTTTATGCTTTCATTCACATTTCATTCATATTTTATAAATGTCCTCAACAACCTCTTTGCTACAAGTGGATTCAAAACCACCAATGTTGAATAATAGGAGGCAGCTGGGACCACATACAAATCTCAGGGGAAATTTGAAATCAGTGTAGGAGGCAAGAAAACAGAACCAGACCAGGATCTCTGGGGTTGCTGATCTTAGGTCTTCTTCACCAGAAAAATGATTTGACTCATAAACATATTAAGATCAACCTCACTTGCAGAAAATTCACTTAAATGTAACACGTCTTACCAGCAATGCTTCATAAATGAAGGTGCTTATAAGGCTCTGGGCATAAAATTTCTTCATTCATTCAACTAATGTTTTTTAGTTCTAGGTACTTGGGGTAGGTATATTAGTGAACAAAATTGACAAAAAAATTATCATGATATATTCTGCATTTCTTTTTACACAGCAGGTTGTTATTGAGTTACTGTTATGTGCCCAACACTCTACTAGCCATTGGGGATAGGTAGGAGAGTGACAAACATGGGTTTGGGGAGCCCCATAAATCCTTGGGGGTGCCATCTGAGATTGCTCTATGGTGTGAACAGACCTCAGGTGTGGTCCTGCGGGCACTGTGGAGCCACCAGCTACAACTTGCAGTGTTGGGAAGTGTGTCTCTGGGGCCAGCAGATCCCAGGCTGTCCCTGAACCCGTTGGGTTAAAGTCCAGTTGGGAGAATTGTCTTCTGTCATAAACAAATGTCTTTCGCTCCTTACACATTACTGTTCATCTGTCTCAGCCACACACTTCAATCACCACAGCTTCTGAAGCAGCCAGGGCTCCTCGGGCCGGTGTCTAGGCAAGCTGTCACTCTGTGATTCAGCACTGGGCTCTCGCGGTTGCCCTACCACTGCCCCTCTTTCATCGATAAGTATGAATGCCAGGGTTGGCGGATTTTTTTTAAAGATAAATCATTGTCTGTGTCAATGAATTGTGGCAAACTGCCTAACTGGGTTGCAATTATTTTCTGAGTACTGTGTTTTTGAGATTCCAAATTCTCTCAACAATTTGAAATAGTTCCTTTCTTTTACTGCCTCCCTGTGAAAATGGACTTAGACCCATCTTAGGTCCATACAGTAGTAACCACATTTTTATTTCATTCGACCCTCAGGTTTGGTGATGGTTATACTGTCAAGGTTTGGCTTCATAAGGAAGCAAATCAACACAACACTGTTTCTGACTGCTTGAAGCTCTATTTTCCAGGAATCCAGTTTAAGGTAGTGCTAATATTCTACATTACTTCTTTGTTTTCAGCTTAAAAATCTCATAAATGCACTTGGCTTTTAACCTGTTCTAGTTCTTTGCTGTCATAAGATACTGCCTGTTGTCTCTGTCTCATTGCAAAGTGTAGACCACGCCTCCGCTCCACAGATAGCATGGACAGGGCATATTGCCCGACCACTTGCCCACATGTTGGGTTGCCCTGAGTCCACTGTGGGTACACCCTCCCCTGACCCTCATGTGTGGTCACAGCTCATTTTGCTCAGGAGGGAAGACTGCAGAAGTAATCATCTTCTGTGTAGCTGCTGTGGGGCTTATAGGCTTGGTGGCTTCAGCATTAATTTGCAAGGGGTGCCCTGTGCCTAAGACTGACCATAATCCTCTACCAACCTGATGCAAAGCATGATCCCTGACTCAGCAGTGCAGTCATCACCCAGGAGCTGGTTAGACCTGCAGATTCCAAGTCTGCATTTTACCCAGGTGACCAGGGCAGCCCTATGCATGGTAACATCTGCGAAGTACTGTCTATAGTTTTCTTGGATTACCCTGTGATCTTAGCCCCTAAGAAATTGTCATCTGTAGCCATCACCTACCTATGTGTTTCAACAAGAACCATGGGGTAAATCCTACCAGGTAAGAAGCATGCTGTGTAAGGACAGGCATTCATGCTCAGGTTCCCATGTAAATGGCCCTATATAATGGCTACCAATAGGGCTATTGCCATTTGCACCTATGAAGACAAGAATCAGAATGGTGAAACACCCCACCAAGAGTTGTTCAGCTAAGGGCAAGGACAAGTGCATGCCCAGCCCAGGTCCCAGTGTGAAGGTCAGGGCGCCTCTGTGTTGTGGCACCTGAGCTTCCTCCTTCCCAGCTCTTGGTAGGCATCTTCTTCCCCTTAGAGAGGCCTTCCCCACCCTCAGGGCATGTGAGGGGCAAGACAGCAATGAGGCCCAGGGAACAACACTTATCAAAAAAGCCACACAATAGATGCTGTCAGTTGCATCCATAGAGATTCCCTAAACTGACCTCCACACCTCCCTGGTATTTAAGTGTGTGGTTTGAGAAAAGATAATTTGGCAATTAAATGTACTTAATAAATTTTTCTTAATGACTGCTAGGTATGTGATACAATGTGTTTCCTTTTGGTTTTTAGGGGCAGCGCCTTAATTTATTGGAATATCATGTGCCAAAAAGATGGGAATGCTTAGCTGACCTGTTCAAAGTTCTAGAGAAGAATAAGGCCTCCTTGAATATCAAGCATTACTCCATTAACCAGGCCACTTTGGAGCAGGTATAGTGCCTTGAATGATTCAGCAGGTTGCTTTTTGGTATGTTCTTGAGGCCTACTAGGCTGATTTTAAAACTAGCCAGATTACCTCTGTAGTAATCTGGATCCTTTGTTTAATCACTGTTTGGTTTTATAAAATTCTGATAAGGATGGTGAGTGTTAGGAGGTTTGTTTATTGTCTGCTCTGCACTCTAGGTACATATTACCAGAGCTTCTTCTTGTTCATAATTACACTGGGCATTCAGCAGGTAAACCATAGCCCATCCACCTCCCCTTCCCCACTCTGCCCACCCACCAGTATCTCCCAGGTCTCTGCTGTTAACTGGGTGCTAGCTAACTTTGGGCAGAAAAGGGCTTGCTTTACTAAGAGTACCAGAATGTCACATTACATCACAACTTTCTTTTAAAGCTGTGCTGAAGGCATTGAGAACTTTCATGTGATAATTGTCTAGAAACATTTATCATTCCTGGAGCTATGTCCTCAAAGGATTTACCTGTTTATGGTGATTTCCTAGGGGGTGGTATGAATTAAAGGCTGTGGTTTGTAGAAAAAGTTGGGCAGTGCTCTGAGAAGGTGTCCTCTCAGAATCGTTGACAACAAAAGGTCTCTGTTCTCATAAGTTAACAGTTACAATACCATTGCTTTCAGGTGTTTATTAATTTTGCGACTGAGCAGCAGCAGCCTCAACAGTGTGCTCCAGACCCATCCATTACCGGCCGTCTCACCTGCCTATCTAAGCACTAAAGAAGATGTTTTTAAGAGGACCTAACCCTTCTCTTTCATTACCATTCATACTCGAAGATCAGAGGAGCCAGTGCACAGAGAAGGAGCTGGAAGACGTATCCAGGAGTCACACTTCATTCTCTCCTCATTTTCTATTTTGAAACTCTTTGTTAATCAGGAATCAGCAAACTGAGAGGTCCTTCTTTTCTGTGGATTTTTTGGGAGTTCCTGCAGCAAGGTTCCTCTCTCTGCAGAGTCACAGCGGGGTAGCTTCTTTGGGACACAGGCAGGAATGAGTCAGCAGTCCCAGTGGAGACCTTCTGCAGCTGCCAGGGCTGTCAGACGTTGTTCCAAACATGTCATTTCACTTTAAAGGACACCGAGGCCGCTGAGGTTAAAAACTCCTCATTTGTTTGTTTAGGAAGTAGTACCTAGGACTCTTCTATTTTTGTCATCTTTTCACTAGAGATGCTTATGCATGTCTAAATAAAAACTCAGTGATCGAAATGCAAACTTTCCCTGATATTGGATGTCATTATATGGTCTGACATGAAAAAATTGCCAGCATTTTCCACAAAAGATGCTTTTAAAGAAAAATAAGTATTGAAAAGCTTTATAGTCAACCCTTTAGCAAAATTAATTAAATGGAACTGAACACTCTGTATCATTTATAAAAGTTTTACCAGAATTTCACAAATTATAAATTTAGGGGGAAATATAATGTGGATGTATTTCTTCTTAATTTGGATTCATAATTCCTGATTTGTTTAAGTTCCCCTTCGTAGCCATAGCAGCATCTCCTGGGAGCTGCAGAGTCTTAGGCTCCCCAACCAAAGCCAGTGAATCTAAAAGTGAGATTCACTAAAACTCACCCTCTGGGGCTGGAGCGCCACACTCCAGGTTTAAAAAAGGCCTTCTGGTATTCTGATGCACGTCCTGGTTTGAGAACAAATGACCTAAGGAAATGTCCAGTTACCTTCTAATTATACAAGCAAAGTTAGCACAGTATGTAGTAAATAAACGTTACTTTTCAAATATTTAAAGATTATCTAAAAATTATGCCATTCTCAGAATTATTGTTGTCAAAATTCTTTTCATTGTGAAGTACTGTGATGTGGCTCTAAAAGGCTATAAACCTGACAGTCTGCATCTTGTACTTAGTAAAGTGCATTTAAAATCATGTGCCTCCTACATTGTGTCAAATAGTCTCCGGACAGACATATTGGAGTTATTTCTCAGCCTTCTTTGAATAACATTTTTCTGAAAGCTCAAAGGAAGAGCACATTAATTTCATTAAAAAATTTAACCTTATCCAATTAAGTTTTCGAGCAATAGTAGCTTGTTATCAAGGGACACTTTCTCACATTTCTTTACTGCAAGATTTCATTAAAATCTGTCTTTCCTGAATATCATTCTATATGCAACCAATTTTTAAAAGTTAAGGGTTAAGCCAATCATGTATAGTTTTGATTGAATAGTTTCATTTACATGAATCACATGAATTGTGCTTTTTTAAATAATTTACAATTTAGGGTTTTATGATCCCTCCTAATTCTAACATTGTCTCATTGTCAAAATGGAAGATGTAATCTTTTGTTACTGTTGTTGAATGAATCAATAAAATGTGTGAAACACAAACTGGTTTATACTGCAGTGAATAAATGAGATGCACTTTAATTTAACCTGTTTCTTTGGATATAATTGTGTTTTTGCAAGTATGTTTTCTTGCATCTTTAGAGATCCAGTTTAATATAGGAAAGGGAGAAATGCAGCTGCTCTAGATCTTTTAAAGCTTGAAAGGTTAACATTTAATTGAGTTTTTAGTCTGCTATGTTCTGCTCCTAGGGATTCTTAAGTCTTTGAGCTGCTGTGTTCTTGAAGGCTGTGCTTTGAGGTATTGCCCTTAAACAATGAACGGGGAGAAGAGAGAAACTCAACATGCTAAACACCATCTCCCTGAAGACTGGACACAAAAGGTCAAATCTTATGTTAATGTTGAAAATGTCATTGCATTTTTAAGTCATGCAGCTATTTTATGCCTTGGAGTTAAACATTGTCTTAAGATCTCTGGGCTGAAGTTCACACAACTGAGACTTAAACAAACCATATTTCTTTGGAAGCATCCTACATGGAGTGCCTTCAAGGCACAGGTAACAGGGGTTGTTCTAGTCCAGTGTTCTAGTCTGTATTTTATGGGTTTTCTCTTCCCCAATATTGAAACAGGTGATATATTACAGCCCTCATGAAACCAAGGCTGTAAAAAGAAAACAAGAAATATGTTTTCAGAACAGCAAAGATGAAGCTCTATTTTCCAGGAATCCAGTTTAAGGTAGTGCTAATATTCTACATTACTTCTTTGTTTTCAGCTTAAAAATCTCATAAATGCACTTGGCTTTTAACCTGTTCTAGTTCTTTGCTGTCATAAGATACTGCCTGTTATCTCTGTCTCATTGCAAAGTGTAGACCACGCCTCCGCTCCACAGATAGCATGGACAGGGCATATTGCCCGACCACTTGCCCACATGTTGGGTTGCCCTGAGTCCACTGTGGGTACACCCTCCCCTGACCCTCATGTGTGGTCACAGCTCATTTTGCTCAGGAGGGAAGACTGCAGAAGTAATCATCTTCTGTGTAGCTGCTGTGGGGCTTATAGGCTTGGTGGCTTCAGCATTAATTTGCAAGGGGTGCCCTGTGCCTAAGACTGACCATAATCCTCTACCAACCTGATGCAAAGCATGATCCCTGACTCAGCAGTGCAGTCATCACCCAGGAGCTGGTTAGACCTGCAGATTCCAAGTCTGCATTTTACCCAGGTGACCAGGGCAGCCCTATGCATGGTAACATCTGCGAAGTACTGTCTATAGTTTTCTTGGATTACCCTGTGATCTTAGCCCCTAAGAAATTGTCATCTGTAGCCATCACCTACCTATGTGTTTCAACAAGAACCATGGGGTAAATCCTACCAGGTAAGAAGCATGCTGTGTAAGGACAGGCATTCATGCTCAGGTTCCCATGTAAATGGCCCTATATAATGGCTACCAATAGGGCTATTGCCATTTGCACCTATGAAGACAAGAATCAGAATGGTGAAACACCCCACCAAGAGTTGTTCAGCTAAGGGCAAGGACAAGTGCATGCCCAGCCCAGGTCCCAGTGTGAAGGTCAGGGCGCCTCTGTGTTGTGGCACCTGAGCTTCCTCCTTCCCAGCTCTTGGTAGGCATCTTCTTCCCCTTAGAGAGGCCTTCCCCACCCTCAGGGCATGTGAGGGGCAAGACAGCAATGAGGCCCAGGGAACAACACTTATCAAAAAAGCCACACAATAGATGCTGTCAGTTGCATCCATAGAGATTCCCTAAACTGACCTCCACACCTCCCTGGTATTTAAGTGTGTGGTTTGAGAAAAGATAATTTGGCAATTAAATGTACTTAATAAATTTTTCTTAATGACTGCTAGGTATGTGATACAATGTGTTTCCTTTTGGTTTTTAGGGACAGCGCCTTAATTTATTGGAATATCATGTGCCAAAAAGATGGGAATGCTTAGCTGACCTGTTCAAAGTTCTAGAGAAGAATAAGGCCTCCTTGAATATCAAGCATTACTCCATTAACCAGGCCACTTTGGAGCAGGTATAGTGCCTTGAATGATTCAGCAGGTTGCTTTTTGGTATGTTCTTGAGGCCTACTAGGCTGATTTTAAAACTAGCCAGATTACCTCTGTAGTAATCTGGATCCTTTGTTTAATCACTGTTTGGTTTTATAAAATTCTGATAAGGATGGTGAGTGTTAGGAGGTTTGTTTATTGTCTGCTCTGCACTCTAGGTACATATTACCAGAGCTTCTTCTTGTTCATAATTACACTGGGCATTCAGCAGGTAAACCATAGCCCATCCACCTCCCCTTCCCCACTCTGCCCACCCACCAGTATCTCCCAGGTCTCTGCTGTTAACTGGGTGCTAGCTAACTTTGGGCAGAAAAGGGCTTGCTTTACTAAGAGTACCAGAATGTCACATTACATCACAACTTTCTTTTAAAGCTGTGCTGAAGGCATTGAGAACTTTCATGTGATAATTGTCTAGAAACATTTATCATTCCTGGAGCTATGTCCTCAAAGGATTTACCTGTTTATGGTGATTTCCTAGGGGGTGGTATGAATTAAAGGCTGTGGTTTGTAGAAAAAGTTGGGCAGTGCTCTGAGAAGGTGTCCTCTCTTAGAATCGTTGACAACAAAAGGTCTCGGTTCTCATAAGTTAACAGTTACAATACCATTGCTTTCAGGTGTTTATTAATTTTGCGACTGAGCAGCAGCAGCCTCAACAGTGTGCTCCCGACCCATCCATGGACTCTTACCGGCCGTCTCACCTGCCTATCTAAGCACTAAAGAAGATGTTTTTAAGAGGACCTAACCCTTCTCTTTCATTACCATTCATACTCGAAGATCAGAGGAGCCAGTGCACAGAGAAGGAGCTGGAAGACGTATCCAGGAGTCACACTTCATTCTCTCCTCATTTTCTATTTTGAAACTCTTTGTTAATCAGGAATCAGCAAACTGAGAGGTCCTTCTTTTCTGTGGATTTTTTGGGAGTTCCTGCAGCAAGGTTCCTCTCTCTGCAGAGTCACAGCGGGGTAGCTTCTTTGGGACACAGGCAGGAATGAGTCAGCAGTCCCAGTGGAGACCTTCTGCAGCTGCCAGGGCTGTCAGACGTTGTTCCAAACATGTCATTTCACTTTAAAGGACACCGAGGCCGCTGAGGTTAAAAACTCCTCATTTGTTTGTTTAGGAAGTAGTACCTAGGACTCTTCTATTTTTGTCATCTTTTCACTAGAGATGCTTATGCATGTCTAAATAAAAACTCAGTGATCGAAATGCAAACTTTCCCTGATATTGGATGTCATTATATGGTCTGACATGAAAAAATTGCCAGCATTTTCCACAAAAGATGCTTTTAAAGAAAAATAAGTATTGAAAAGCTTTATAGTCAACCCTTTAGCAAAATTAATTAAATGGAACTGAACACTCTGTATCATTTATAAAAGTTTTACCAGAATTTCACAAATTATAAATTTAGGGGGAAATATAATGTGGATGTATTTCTTCTTAATTTGGATTCATAATTCCTGATTTGTTTAAGTTCCCCTTCGTAGCCATAGCAGCATCTCCTGGGAGCTGCAGAGTCTTAGGCTCCCCAACCAAAGCCAGTGAATCTAAAAGTGAGATTCACTAAAACTCACCCTCTGGGGCTGGAGCGCCACACTCCAGGTTTAAAAAAGGCCTTCTGGTATTCTGATGCACGTCCTGGTTTGAGAACAAATGACCTAAGGAAATGTCCAGTTACCTTCTAATTATACAAGCAAAGTTAGCACAGTATGTAGTAAATAAACGTTACTTTTCAAATATTTAAAGATTATCTAAAAATTATGCCATTCTCAGAATTATTGTTGTCAAAATTCTTTTCATTGTGAAGTACTGTGATGTGGCTCTAAAAGGCTATAAACCTGACAGTCTGCATCTTGTACTTAGTAAAGTGCATTTAAAATCATGTGCCTCCTACATTGTGTCAAATAGTCTCCGGACAGACATATTGGAGTTATTTCTCAGCCTTCTTTGAATAACATTTTTCTGAAAGCTCAAAGGAAGAGCACATTAATTTCATTAAAAAATTTAACCTTATCCAATTAAGTTTTCGAGCAATAGTAGCTTGTTATCAAGGGACACTTTCTCACATTTCTTTACTGCAAGATTTCATTAAAATCTGTCTTTCCTGAATATCATTCTATATGCAACCAATTTTTAAAAGTTAAGGGTTAAGCCAATCATGTATAGTTTTGATTGAATAGTTTCATTTACATGAATCACATGAATTGTGCTTTTTTAAATAATTTACAATTTAGGGTTTTATGATCCCTCCTAATTCTAACATTGTCTCATTGTCAAAATGGAAGATGTAATCTTTTGTTACTGTTGTTGAATGAATCAATAAAATGTGTGAAACACAAACTGGTTTATACTGCAGTGAATAAATGAGATGCACTTTAATTTAACCTGTTTCTTTGGATATAATTGTGTTTTTGCAAGTATGTTTTCTTGCATCTTTAGAGATCCAGTTTAATATAGGAAAGGGAGAAATGCAGCTGCTCTAGATCTTTTAAAGCTTGAAAGGTTAACATTTAATTGAGTTTTTAGTCTGCTATGTTCTGCTCCTAGGGATTCTTAAGTCTTTGAGCTGCTGTGTTCTTGAAGGCTGTGCTTTGAGGTATTGCCCTTAAACAATGAACGGGGAGAAGAGAGAAACTCAACATGCTAAACACCATCTCCCTGAAGACTGGACACAAAAGGTCAAATCTTATGTTAATGTTGAAAATGTCATTGCATTTTTAAGTCATGCAGCTATTTTATGCCTTGGAGTTAAACATTGTCTTAAGATCTCTGGGCTGAAGTTCACACAACTGAGACTTAAACAAACCATATTTCTTTGGAAGCATCCTACATGGAGTGCCTTCAAGGCACAGGTAACAGGGGTTGTTCTAGTCCAGTGTTCTAGTCTGTATTTTATGGGTTTTCTCTTCCCCAATATTGAAACAGGTGATATATTACAGCCCTCATGAAACCAAGGCTGTAAAAAGAAAACAAGAAATATGTTTTCAGAACAGCAAAGAGTAGAGGACACAGTTATCAGTAGTTTGGTTTAGTGGGCATGGAACTGAAATGTAGTTCAACAGAATCCCTCCAAATCATCTTACAGGATACACACACCATACACACTCTCCCATGTTATGCGCTGTTCATGCATGTGAATAGGAGTACTTTGGCTTAATCACCAATTTCCGCACCCAAACATGAGATGTAGATATTTTACATTTTCAAGCAGGTCTGACCATATTTCACCTCTGGCTTTTGCTCTGGGCTGTATCAGCATTTCAGCTCAGTGATGGTGTTGGTATGATATTTTTCTAGTATGTGATAGCTCCTTATCACACGTGTGAATAATTCAAAGCCATTTCAGTCACATGCACACACATTCTTTCTTCCAGTTACTATTACTGAGCCTATTATTTGGGATTGGATAGATGGCAGGTACTGTGCACATGGGGTGGTAGACTAACAGGTAAAAAGCCACTGTCCTCAGCCAGCATGCGGTCAGGTGGAGACTGTACAGGTGAGATTATAGGCAGCAAGCACTCCCTGCAATGGGCCAGAGTGCTTCCCTCTCATCAAACATGTAGGAACTTACTTGTACCAGTGGGGTTGACCTTTATGGATGGAGAAGACGGTGAAGGTCATTTGAGGGTAAGAGAATGCCAGAGAAAATCACCAATCACTGATAGTCAATGAACAGGGGGTATTTGCCTGTTACTCTGGAGACATTGATGTATTTCTGGGCATATGTATTGAAATATGGATTCCATAGACATCAAGAACCCAGTAACCATCTTTAGAATTTCGTATGTATCCCAAAGTGGCCACTGGAGTTTCAGCTATCAAAATATTCCAAGCAGCAAAAAAGTAGAAACTGGATGAAGGAGAAAAAAATACCACACCATTGAAAGAGGTCTCCTGGCAGCCTAACCTACTTAGGCTTATATGGCATTGGCCAGAAAGAATCACATGGCTGTAACTTAGCTGCATGAATGTGTAGGCAGTGCAGTTTGAGTTGTGGCCCTAAGAAGAAGTGAGGGTTCTGGCTCTGGCAATCAGTACTGAACAGGCAGCCAGCGATCTGTATTACAGGAATGCATAGCAGGTTTTATGGCCATTTTGCATGGAAACAAAATGAATTCAATTTTGGACAAGTTGAATAAACTAGGTAATGTCCCATTATGTGACTCTCTTTGGGCAATCAAGTTTCTAAGATTATTACTATTTTCAGGATTAACGTCACATTTTAAACTCTGTAGATCAGATGTCATTTGTATTTATAAACTGTTATTGTCAAACTGAATGTAGTAGGCAAGGAGAAGGAAAAATTTTATGGATATTTTTTCCATTTGGGCAAATACATAGCATTGTCATTTTCTCATAGTGAGAATTCCTATTGAGAGCATTAATGGATATATTTGTCCTGCTGAAAGGGATTCAAACTACTGAAAGAAGTCAGAAACATTTTTCCTAATTATTTGCTATTGCTTGTCATTGGAAAGGAGATATTTTACTATGTTTTCAGTGAATCCATCACAGTTTTCATCACATTAGAGTGTTTTAAGGAAAAATGGGGTCCACTGAGTTAAATGCACATCACAAACCTTGCCAAATTCTCTGGTTAAAAAACACATCTAGGGCGCAGAGCCAAGATGGTGGCGTGAGTAGAGTATATCTATGAAAATATAACAAAGACAACTCTTCCTAAAATAGAGACCAGAGGACACAGGACAACATCCAGACCACATCCACACCTGCAAGAACCCAGCGTCTCGCAAACGGGGTAAGATAAAAGCCCCAGCCCGGCGGGACCCGAGCGCCCCTCCCCCCGGCTCCCGGCGGGTGGAGAGAAACCGGAGCAGTTTTTTTTTTTGGCGAGCGCTTTTTGGAAGCCTTAGAGGGACGGGCCCCCGTTGCTGGGGAGGCAGGGTGGCGGGACCGGTGAGGAGGTGCCTGGGAACGGCGCCGGAGGACAAAGAATATCCCGCGTTTCTCCCTGCGAGACCTGGGGGCGGGTGCCTGAGACCGGTGCCTGAGGACGGAGGAGGTCGCGCGTTTTTCCCCTTTTTTTTTTTTTCTCTTTTTGGCGAGCGCTTTTTGGAAGCCTTGAAGGGACGGGGACCCCAGTGCTAGGGAGGCACGGTGGCGGGACTGGTGAGCGGGTGGCTGGGACCGGCGCCTGAGGACAAAGAATATCCCCCGTTTTTCCCTGCGGGACCGGTGGGCGGGTGCCTGAGACCGGCACTTGAGGACAGAGGAAATCGCGCGTTTTTCCCCTTTTTTTTTTCTCTTTTCTGCGAGTGCTTTTTGGAAGCCTAAAAGGGACAGGGACCCCGGTGCTAGGGAGGCAGGGCGGCGGGACTGGTGAGCGGGTGCCTGGGACCGGCACCTGAGGACAAAGAATATCCCGCATTTTTCCCTGTGGGACCGGTGGGTGGGTGCCTGAGACCAGCACCTGAGGACGGAAGAAATCGCGCGTTTTTCCCCTTTTTTTTCTCTCTTTTTGCCAAGTGCTTTTTGGAAGCCTTGAAGGGACAGGGACCCCGGTGCTAGGGAGGCAGGGCGGCGGGACTGGTGAGCGGGTGCGTGGGACCAGTGCCTGAGGACCAAGAATATTGAGCGTTCCTTCCCTGCGGGACCGGTGGGTGGGTGCTTTTTGGAAGCCTTGAAAGGACAGGGACCCTGGTGCTAGGGAGACAGGGCAGCAGGACCAGTGCGCGGGTGCCTGGGACCGGCACCTGGGGAAAAAAAAAAAAAAATCGCGTGTTTTTTCTTTTTTTTTTCCTTTCTGTTCCCTCTCTCATTGTTGCTGTTGTTGTTTTGGTTTGGAGAGTGCTTTTTGGAAATCTTAAAGGGGCAGGACAGGTCACTTAGACCAGAAGCAGGGAATCTGGGGATCTCTGGGCACTCTAACCCCCTGGGCAGCAGGGAGCACAGAGGCCCCTTACGGAGATAAATAGTCTCCTGGCTGCTCCCCCTCCAACGGGGCTCCACCATTTTGGAGGAACAGCCCCAGCCAGGCCAAGCCCACAGCAACAGCGGAGATAAACCCCAAAGCAACTGGGCAGGAAGCAGAAGCCCTGTCTGCGCACAGCTGCCCAGCACAAGCCACTAGAGGTCGCTATTCTCCCAGGAAAAGGCTACAAACCAACAAGAAGGGAAGCTCTTCCAGCGGTCACTTGTACCAGCTCTGCAAACTATCTCTATCACCATGAAAAGGCAAAACTACAGGCAGACAAAGATCACAGAGACAACACCTGAGAAGGAGACAGACCTAACTAGTCCTCCTGAAAAAGAATTCAAAATAAAAATCATGAACATGCTGACAGAGATGCAGAAAAAAATGCAAGAGCAATGGGATGAGATGCAGAGAAAAATGCAAGAGCAGTGGGATGAGATGCAGAGAAAAATGCAAGAGCAGTGGGATGAAGTCCGGAAGGAGATCACAGATGTCAGGAAAGAGATCACAGAAGTGAAACAATCCCTGGAAGGATTTATAAGCAGAATGGATAAGATGCAAGAGGCCATTGAAGGAATAGAAGCCAGAGAACAGGAACGTATAGAAGCTGACATAGAGAGAGATAAAAGGATCTCCAGGAATGAAACAACACTAAGAGAAATATGTGACCAATACAAAAGGAAAAACATTCGTATTATAGGGATACCAGAAGAGGAAGAAAGAGGAAAAGGGATAGAAAGTGTCTTTGAAGAAATAATTGCTGAAAACTTCCCCAAACTGGGGGAGGAAATAATCGAACAGACCATGGAATTATACAGAACCCCCAACAGAAAGGATCCAAGGAGGACAACACCAAGACACATAATAATTAAAATGGCAAGGATCAAGGACAAGGAAAGAGTTTTAAAGGCAGCTAGAGAGAAAAAGGTCACCTATAAAGGAAAACCAATCAGGCTAACATCAGACTTCTCAACAGAAACCCTACAGGCCAGAAGAGAATGGCATGATATACTTAATGCAATGAAACAGAAGGGCCTTGAACCAAGGATACTGTATCCAGCACGACTATCATTTAAATATGATGGTGGGATCAAACAATTCCCAGACAAGCAAAAGCTGAGGGAATTTGCTTCCCACAAACCACCTCTACAGGGCATCCTACAGGGACTGCTCTAGATGGGAGCACCCCTAAAAAGAGCACAGAACAAAACACACAACATATGAAGAATGGAGGAGGAGGAATAAGAAGGGAGAGAAGAAAAGACTCTCCAGACAGTGTATATAACAGCTCAATAAGCGAGCTAAGTTAGGCAGTAAGATACTAAAGAAGCTAACCTTGAACCTTTGGTAACCACGAATCTAAAGCCTGCAATGGCAATAAGTACATATCTTTCAATAGTCACCCTAAATGTAAATG